CTGCTGCCTTGAGAAACCTTCAATAATTGTCCATCGGCTTCCAGTTGGTTATGTGAGCTGACGTATCACCACAAAATCAGATTTTACATATCTTTGGCAAAACTGAAATTGAATCTGAACAGTTTTCTCGTTGCTAAACTTTCAACTTTCACAAGGAATCGGGCGTAAATATTTCAAATTTCACTACATATCTCAAATTTTTTATGATAAAAATTTTGTTTCGGACTCAACAGTTTGGAACACTAGTATTGTCGGCTTAGCTACCGCTTGCTTAAACTGAATTCTTTTTCGACGATAAACTGATACAGACGTATAAAATTTTGTTTGGTGTCTTTTATTGATGTTTTTTGAATGTTTTTTTTCGACCTTCAACTTCGTCTTCGTTCTCTTTTTGAATTCGCTAGTTTTCAATGCTATGTTTGTGTTGCATCAACAATGTTGCAAAATATGACCGCTTTGTGAAGTTTTGGTTCCAGGTAAACATGGAAATTCTTAGCAAAATAGGTATGGAGTTAGCAATATAGGTATGCAGTTATGCTTTTCTGCGATGAAGTTTGCCATAATATATGGAACGCCGCCTCTTATCAAACTTTTGAAATTCAGAAAATCCAAAAACTGAAAGTATATGGAAGTCTATGAGGGCTTCTTATTATCTTACAATCGGGGCCAAATATATTATAAATGTATTCAGTCAGTTCCTGAAAGGTTGAATTAGATCAAAGAACCAAAAGTTTTTAAAGGCTGAATGTTTATTTATTTCAGATATTCAGTGCAATCTAGCTATGAATGGAGATGTCATCTAATGAACAGGACTGAAAATTGCCATTTTTCTTTCGGGTATGAAAATCCTAAACGAATTTGCTGATGTGTTCACTGCACTGTTGGTGACATGGTCTGCAGCTCTAGTCTGGCTTACAATGTCGATATTGTTTATTGTTTGTATGTTTCCAGACGACGCCAATCACTATATTTGGGCCATGCTATTTGTTGGAATCGGAGGCTCCTATCTCTGCATGTACATCGAAACTATGTCGTGTTTAATCAATACAAGCCAGAACACTTGCTCGCACGTCTCCGCTAAATTGATCCACGTTTCCTTTGTAATTTGGTTTTAGGCAATGATTCAAAAATGTCTTGAGCTTACTTGAAAATACATTCACTCTTAAAATGCTGTAGCTTCTTTTTTAGGTTAATTTGCTGAGGCAAATAAAAGTTCAGTTGTTACATTTGCCTTTAGTTTTTAAGCTTCAGATAACTAAAAAACCTTATAGATGATAAAGTGAGATGTATTTAAGATTAATTATAGGTATTTCTGTGGAAAAGTTGGTAAGACATGTTGGATTTCTACACGCATTCAAACTTTGCGCAAGTAAGCGAGCTGATTGTATTTTGCTTCATCCTCATTTCTTGTCGCTCGCTGACAGTGACTGCTCAACTAACTATTACGAAGGAGGAACTTTGCAAGACCCCGACCGTCAGTGACACTATATCCACAGGTTTTAAAATAAATGGTACAGTACGACTTTTCAATTTATAGAGATTTAATTGCAATGAACATTCTTCCAGGTAGCAGAAATAAATCTTGAATCAAGATTACACTAGAATCTATCTATCTATTATCTATTATACCTATTATATATTCACATGCGGGCTTCACTATCTCGCCATGTTTAAGCTTTTTCAACGTATTTTTCTGCATGTTTAAGTTATATCATATATTGCAATGGTTAAGAATTTTTTTTTTCGATTTTCCAATTTGATTTTAGTAGTTATTTTACCGAGTTTAAATTAAGCAGCCCAATATCGAATTAGGGGTTGCGAATTTTCATAAATTTCAAATAAAATAATTTATAGAACTTGAAGTTCCCAACCGTGTAGTTGGGTACTGTCAGAGTACTATCATGCATTGCGATTTTGCCTCCAAATGTGACTGCTCAAATCCTTGTAATTTTCGATATGATGTTTTTTGTGATTTTTTCGAAATTTTTCAGAAAATTTTGATTTACTTTTCCCCAAACTTTGAAATTACCAACCTTGTAGTTGGGTGCTGTGACAGTACTCTAAGGAGTTACAAATCTTGCCCCCTAATATGACTGTTCAAATCCTTGTAGTTTTCAAGATATGACGTTTTTTGTGATTTTTTCAAAAAAAGTTTTCAGAAAACTTATATGATTTTTTTCGCAAAATCTGAAATTCTCAATCCTGTAGTTGGGTCCTGTCAGAGTAATCTCAAAGGTTGCGAGTCTTGTCTCTAAGTATGACTGCTCAATTTCTTGTAGTTTTTGAGATATGACGTTTTTTGTGATTTTTTCAAAAACAGTTTTCAGAAAAATTATATTAATTTTTTTTTCGCAAAATCTGAAATTCCCAAACCTGTATTTGGGTCCTGTCAGAGTATTCTCAAAGATTGCGAGTCTTGCCTCCAAGTATGACGGCTCAATTTTTTGTAGTTTTTGAGATGTGACAATTTTTGTGATTTTTTCAAAAAATTTCAGAAAACATATATTAATTTTTTTTCGCTAAATCTGAAATTCCTAACCCTGTAGTTAGGTCCTGTCAGAGTACTTCCAAAGATTGTGAATCTTGCCTCCAAATATGACTGCTCAATTCTTCGTAGTTCTCGAGATGTGAAGTGTTTCGATTTAATCAAAATTTGTCAAAGAGTTTATCTACAAAGAAATTCGAAAAATTTGAAACTACCAACTCGATGAAGATACAACCTTATTGACAGCATACACCCTGGCGTCTCAAATCTTGCCTCTCAATATGAATGCTCAAAACCTTTTAGTTTCCGAGATAAGACAATTTTTTTTAAATGTTTTTTTCGGGAAACTTCAGTTTAAAAAAATTCACAAAATGTCGCTCTCAGTGGTTGAATATCTGGTCTCAAAATTTCTGCAGATGACCATTGAGTTTTTGAAGCACCGGAGGTGCGTTAAACGCCAGTTACTATTTGTTTGAGTTAAGTGGGCGAGTAGGAGTTATAATAGAAGAAGTTACTATTGAAGCCGGGAGAAACTTAGTTTTACTCCAGGCAAATAAGTTTTTGAAGCTTTATTTAGCGCTTCCTTGGCAATCAAAAGGCCAGTAAAATTCCGCAACAATTAATATTTTGTTTTTTATTCATCTTTCAAAGACTATGCCCAATTTACTGAACTTTTAAAATTTTGTAGTTTTTCTCAGCACACCGCGCGCAGAAAAATGATTCAATGAAAATGTTTTAGTGAAAGTGATCGGAATTTTCTTTGCTACTGGCAGGAAGCCACTGGTGACTCTTGTTTGAAAAATTTTTTGGCATTCGTGGCTTTCATTTGAATTTTTCGAGATTGTCAAGAGTTTGTATTTATATTTACAGCTGATTTTTTAAAGATCTTTTCATTATTTAATACATTTGACGCAGGAATCACAAACTCAGCAAACAGCACTTCGACGCTAGTTTTGGTGCGCATTCTGTCAATCAGTGTGTGGACTCAAGTGTGGAATCTCACTGATAAATTTCTTCTCCCTGGAGATGATCATTACTACACTTCCACTTCAATTTCATTGGTGTTTGGTCTGTTGCTGATGGGCGCGTTGTTTTTATTCGACCAACTGAAGTCTTGTCTTCTACTTTGCTGCAAGAATTCTTATCCAGGTGGGGATTACAATCCTATTGTTCAGTACTTAAGAAGGGGTGAGGATTTTAGTCTTCGGTTGTGTTTTTTCTCTACGCGATTTTTTTTCTTTTTTTGTCAACAAGAAACATCACCTTTGGTTGAGTGATATATCATTTTACAGCCTGTTTAGTCGAACGGTAAAAAAGTTCAAACGTTTTCTCATTTGCGGGAAAAAAAACGGTTGCAAGTTTTTACTTTTCAGCCTAATTTCGAGCACAGCAACCAGCTACTCTTGTTTATCTCTGATTTCTTATATTAATACTTTTACTTTGTATAAACAGAATATTTTTTGTTGCCAATGGTTACTTTTTTGTAATTATTTAGATATTTTGATTGATTAATCATAAACTTTGTTATAGAATGGACAAAATTCAACCAGCCCAAACCTGGTTTAAATCTTTGTTATAGAATAGACGAACTTTAACCAGCCTAAATGTGGTTTTTAGACCACCTTTTTATTGTGATGTTTTTGCTTTAATTAGCCTCAAAAAGATCTAAGTCGTGACTAGAAGGTCCCAGCAAAGGTTTAGCAAATGAAATATATGTCAGCCAAAGGTCTTAGATAATTCATCAAGCTGCTTGAATCACGATTTTAATGCAGGTTCTTAGTGAACTTTCCTGCTAAGCTATGGAAGATTTCGTTTGTCGTCTGCTTTTAATGTTGCGAACGATGGTAAAATATTCGAATGTTGAGAACGATGGTTAAATATTCGATAATGAAGCGTTTAGTGGCTCGGGTTTTAAAAAAGAGGTTAGCAGTTCGAAGCTGACCATGAGCTGTGCTCGTTGCTTGGAGAATTGATAACTAATTTTGCGGGCCCAGAAAGTTAACCTATGAAAGGCATATTGTTGTATTCAAAGGACACAACAGGGAATTTCTGTTAAATTTTGAACGCTGGTCTTTTTCCCCGTGAGTATCTAGTTGACGATGTTACTACCTCCTGTTTTTACTGAATTTAGATGAAGACGGCAAGGAGGGAGGAGCTAATCGGAGGATGCTGTTCCTGGTCTACTACTTGATCTAAAGAAGGAAATCAAAAGTTAAGAAACTAATGTACAAACAAAAAAGCTCAAGAACAATTATTGTGTGATTTTCTGGAAAGCTCAGTGTGATGCTATCTGATTGGCTCGGAAAATAACTCGATCAAAATTTTTTGCGTAAGAATATATACTATATTTAAATGTGAGTGACAGCTATCTCCCATGTTTAAGCATAATAATTTTGCATGTTTAACAAAAGAATTTTTTCATCTTTAAGCTATATCATATTTTGCAATGCTTAAGAAACTTCTTCAATTAATTTTTGGCAAGGTCAATAATTTTTCAGTATTTTTTTGAGGCCAAATTAAGTCTGTCTGTCTGTATACCTGCTTTCTTAATTAATTTGATTATGCCTGTCTACCCGTCGTCTGATTTTTTAAACTTTCATCTATCTATTAGTATATATTTCTATACTATATTCAAATGCGAGTGACAACTATCTCCCAGGGTACTCTCAGGAGTTGCGAATTTTGCCGCCAAATATGACTGCTCAAATCCTTGTAGCTTTCGAGATATGACGTTTTTTAGGATTTTCTCCGAAATTTTCGAAAAAATCCTAAATATTTCAAGTATCCAAAACTTTGAAGATCTCATTCCTCTTATTGGAATCTGTGAGGTTAATCTCAGTGGGTTGCGAATCTTGCCTTCGAGTATGGCTGCTCAAATTCTTGTAGTTTTCGACATATGACGTTCTTTTTCAAGTTTTTTTTTCCAAATTTTCGCGAAAACTTAGGTATAAAAAATTTCGCAAAACTTGAAATTCTCATCTCTAAAGTGAGGTTCTGTCAGGGTACTCTCAGGAGTTGCGAATTTTTTCTCCCGAATTGACTGCTTTAATCCTCGTAGTTTTCGAGATATGACGTTTTTTATGATTTTCTCCGAAGTTTCCAAAAAAAACTCAATTGTTGAAAATTTTCAAAACTTTGAAGATATCTATCCTGTTATTGGAATCTTTGAGGGTAATCTCAGGGTGTTGCGAATCTTGCCTCTGAATAGGACTGCTCAAATTTTTGCAGTTTTCCAGATGTGACGTTTTTTGTGATTTTTTCAAAAAAACTTTCATGAAAATTCAATTAACTTTTTTTTCTAAAATTTGGAATTCCTAACCTGTAGTTCGAGGGCTGTCAGAGTAATCACGGGGGTTGCAAATTCGGCCTCCACTTAAGAATGCCCAAATCATTTCTGTTTAAGAGAAGACGATTTTTGTGATTTTTTTTGGAAATTTTCAGAAAACTCAAATTATAAAATACTTCGTTAAAGTGTAGTTGTGTACTTTTATAGATTGCGAATTTTGCCATCAAAACGACTGCTCAAATTTTGGCAGTTATCGAAATGTGAATTTTTTTTCTGGTTTCCAAAAAAAATACCTATTTTTAAAAATTTCAGGTGAAGTTTTTCAAAATCTGAATTTCCCAATGTTGTAGTTGGGTACTGTAAGGGTACTCTCAGGAGTTGCAAATCTTGCGTCCAAATGCATCTGCTCAATTGCTTTCAGTTTCACAGATGTGACGTTTCTTAAGTCATTATAAACTTAGATATAAAAAATGTCACAATTTTTATGGTTTTTCAAAATTTGAATTAAAAAATCGAATGAAAAATTTTACAAAGTTTGAAGTTACTCTCAGGAGTTGCAAATCTTGCGTCCAATTGAGACTGCTCAATTGCTTTCAGTTTCCCAGATGTGACGTTTCCTGATTTTATTGACAAATTTTTATGGTTCTTCAAAATTTGTATGAAAAATTTGAATAAAAAACTTTGCAAAATTTCAATTACGAACCCTGTAATTGGGTGCTGTCAGAGTACACTCAAAGAATAGTGTTTTGAGTTGTTGAATTCTTAAGGCTTTAATCTTAAATTCGAAGCTCCGGAAGTGCGGTACACGCTAGTTTGATTTAACATTATGTAACTTGTATCACCATAAACAAACAAGCCCTGCTGACTCGTTGGTTTGATGCTTGATTTCTCACTTTTAAAATTCCGCATCAATGTCTATCAATCCAGTTGTGACTCAACTCTTTGAATTTGATAATTAAGTGCTATTTTTAAGAGTAGATGAACGTTGTTCGTGAGGTTTTTTTTTCAGGAAAAATTGTTCAGGCTCAATTTTACTTTCCCGCGGCTTGACTTTTGATTTCTTTTTGAGTGCAGTTCTTTTCATTTTGTAAAAGAAAAGCAAATTCCGAGATCGAACAGCGTAGGTTTTACAAAACGTGATCGACTTCAAATTCGAGAGTGGAATTTAGTTTTCAGATTTCCAAGCGAAATAATTTTTCTTCATTGATGCAGGTTTCTTAAGTTGGGTTATTTTTATCGAAAAAGAGTTTGTCATAAATTATTTTAGAAACTAAAAAAGATTCAAGGGCTTCTAGTTTTTTGAAAGTTAAGATTTCTCAAAAAACAAGTCAGTTTTTTCATTAAATTACGTTCATTGATCTTTTCCAACTGTCTGTTGGCTATGTTCATATCAATCAAAATTCTACTTTCTGATTATTGGTGTGATTCCTACTTGACTGGAATTATATTTTATGTCATTCGGCGCATCCTGGAAGTTGCAAGCAATTGTAATTCAATTATAATTTTTTAATGTGTTTTTATAAATCTTAAGGTCGTAATTCGTTCATACATGAAAAATGATGACGTTAGAGTGGGTGCCTTCAGTTGTTATATTCCAAAAAAGTATATGTCATGTGTCAATTTGTATTGATTGCCATTTTCGTGACTATTGTTTTTCTGCTGTTAAGAGTTCGTGGCAAAGCGGGCAGGGCTTGAGAGTCCAAATCTCGAGAACGCAGGTTCTAGTCCGATAGGTTGCGAAGTTTAACTAATTCGAGGTTTATTTCTATTTTTTTTTGTCGTGTTCTCGTTAGTGATAGGGAAGCGCAGCTTCGCCTGTGTAAAATTTGAAACTTTTGCAATTTTCTTTGAGTTACAAATGTCGGTTAAGCTTAGTTCACTTTTTTTTCTACGCGTTTGTATAGTTCTGTTATTCCTTCTGGCATTGCGATATTATCAATATTTCAATCGTTTTTCGCTCATAAAATAGCCTATAATTCCAAGTTCTTTGACCCTATCGATGTTCAACAATTCAGCGGCTTAAGGGCCTATTTAAAGGACTTTCTTGGCAGATCTCGCGCTTCATTCCAATATTGAATTGATGATAATCTATTTTTATCAGGTGCTGGAAATAGAGGTGTTGTGTGCTACCGCGATATTCCTCTTTCTTTCCGTGTTCAGTCTGGGTTACAGTCAGATCTTAGCAAGCTACACACTGGATTTTGACAAGGGTAATTTTGACCTGAACAGCCATTTCCTCCTCTGGAAGGATCCGGCTAAGGAAACTTCACTTGGAACGCTGCATAGATTCATGATCGAATCAGATCCAGAAGAATCTATGCGAAAAGATACTGTGCACATTCCTGTCAATCAAAGCAAGGGTAAGAGTTTGTGAAATAGTTTTGTTTTAACCAACAACCTGTTCGTGATCGACTTCTAGTTTCAAAAGAGGGTTTTAATTTTCAGATTTCCCAGGGTAATTAAAATTTGGGGTAGTTTTATCCGAATCATAATTTGTTCTTGGAAATTCAAAGAGCTGTAAAACCATTTTCAAGAACAAGGCTTCTTTCATTTTTTCTTCCGTTCATTGAAATTTTTCCAACTGTCTGCTGGCTATGTTTTGATAGTTGCCAATTCGTTGAAATTAGTTATCAAATTTCAGTGTTTCAATTTTTAAAATAATATCAATTTAAGAAAAATTGTCTGAAGTTTGATTAAAAGTTTATTATTCACACTAGGAGATTCCAGTTACGTCAAAACCCGGCAAAGACAGAACAAGTCATCAACAACTGATACAAAAAGTCTGAAAAAGAGTTTATTGGCTAGAGAATTCGCGCCTCTAGGAGAGACGGAAAACTCGAATAACAAGGGATCGGGTTCAGTTCGGATTCCACTGGTTGAACCAGCAGTCCATGAGCCTCTACTTAATCAGAGAGACGACGAGGAAGAAACCTTTAGCTTGGAGCAACATAAATTAACGGACTAGTTCGAAATAAGTCCTGCGTTTTACGAGAACAGTTCGCTCTTAATTGCTAAGTTATTTTAAGGAACTCTATTTTATCATTATCTTTTGGTGTAAATCATAATTCAATACTTAGTTCACATAAAAAGACGGTCATGCTTTGCAACCTCTAGAATCGAAACAGATACCTTAGAATGGCACAGCATATTGCACGGCTTAGCTTCTCGAACAAGGAGAAATAGGACACTTATAATAAAATTCCTGAAAATTATACTCTAATAATTCTTCATAGACGTTGCAAACTATGGGCCAGGTATGTACATATAAATTTATGCATGTTTGTATCTATGTATGTGTTTATGTGTGTATAGATGTATGAATAAAACTTCCTGAAAATTAACCTCTAATATTTCTTCATAGACGTTGCAAACTATCGGCCAGGTCTTCATGAATTTTGAACTTTTTTTACCCTTCAATCATGGTTTTTGGATTTGACCCGAAATGGCTTTGATAACTATGAGCATTGCGCACTAGCTAGAAACTTTTTTCGATCCTTTTTCCGCTAAATGTAGTCGAGATTTTTCACCTAATTCGAAGCAAGGTTTGAGCGGTTTTTTTTAGACAATATAGCTCAAAATCTTGCTTCAAAATGAGCGGTTTGGGTGAATTTTGAACGGTTTATCTAAAAAAACCGCTCAAAAACCGCACAAGTTTTGAGCGGTTTTTTTAGACAATTACGCTCAAAATCTTGCTTCAAAATGAGCGGTTTGGGTGAATTTTGAACGGTTTATCTAAAAAAAAACGCTCAAAAACCGCGCAAGATTTTTGAGCGCGGTGTGTGAATTTTGAACGGTTTATCTAAAAAAACCGCTCAAAAACCGCACAAGTTTTGAGCGGTTTTTTTAGACAATTACGCTCAAAATCTTGCTTCAAAATGAGCGGTTTGGGTGAATTTTGAACGGTTTATCTAAAAAAAAAACGCTCAAAAACCGCGCAAGATTGGAGCGGTTTGAGCGGTTTTTTTAGACAATTACGCTCAAAATCTTGCTTCAAAATGAGCGGTTTGAGCGGTTTTTGAACGGTTTATCTAAAAAAACCGCTCAAAAACCGCGCAAAATTTAAACGGTTTTGAGCGGTTTATCTAAAAAAACCGCTCAAAAACCGCGCAAGATTTGAGCGGTTTTTGAGCGGTTTTTGAGCGGTTTTTTTGGATAAACCGCTCAAAACCGTTCAAGTCTTGCGCGGTTTTTGAGCGGTTTTTTTAGATAAACCATTCAAAAACCGCTCAAACCGCTCATTTTGAAGCAAGATTTTGAGCGTAATTGTCTAAAAAAACCGCTCAAACCGCTCAAATCTTGCTTCAAATTAGGTGAAAAATCTCGACTCGGGTATAGCATAGCACTTGAGTAGAGAGAGAGAGAGAGAGAGAGAGAGAGAGAGAGATAGGTGGGAGGAGTGAAGAAGGATGGTATAGTGGATGAGTGTGTATTAGAGTATCCAATGGAGTGAGATTGAAGTTCACTGGTGCTACATGTTTAGTCTCTTAGGTAGATTTCAATAGCGTAGATGGAGCCACATGTATCAACACTGCGACTCAGAATACAATAATCACCCCCACATCCATCTCCTCTCCCCACTCTAACATACATCCACTTGAGTCCACTTCTGCCCAGACGGGTGATAAGCTCATCCCTCATCTTCTGTGAAGTCATACCCACTCTACTCTCCATATCAGACAACACACTCTTCACCACACTCTCTGTCTTCTCCTTATCAGTTGCATCATTTCAGTTTGATCAATTTGATGTCATTTGGACAATGAGAGGAACTAGAAATGAATGCGATTCATGGGCTGTGAAGTTGGCTTAACTGGTGAACAAGGCAAGGCGGTGTGTGGGAAAACAGGGAAACATAACAGATGAAAAGTGGTGCCATATATTGTGGTAGTTCATGTGATGGCAATATGGAAATGAGAGATAGTGATGATGTGTTGAGAATATAGCATAGCACTTGAGTAGAGGGAGAGAGGGAGGGAGAGAGAGAGATGGGTGGGAGGAGTGAAGAAGGATGGTATAATGGATGAGTGTGTATTAGAGTATCCAGTATATTGAGGTTGAAGTAGTCCACTGGTGTTACATGTTTAGTCTCCTGGGTAGATGAAACTAACGTAGATGAAGCCATATGTACAAACACGGCGACTCGGAATAGAATATAGATGCCCATATCCACCTCCTCTCCCCACTCTAACATACATCCACTTGAGTCCACTTCTGCCCAGACGGGTGATGAGCTCATCCCTCATCTTCTGTGACGTCATACCCACTCTACTCTCCATATCAGACAACACACTTTCCATCACACTCTTTGCCTTCTCCCTCTCCTCATCAGTTGTTTCTACGTAATTGTAGTCTGAGAATGGGACAGTGTAGATGTGCATGTTGTAGGGGTACTCTGTCTTGTTCTTCCACTCTGCTGTCTCACCCACTCAATCTTTACACTTGATACTATAGTCACTGTCTTTAGCATTGACATAAATGAACCAAATGCTCTCAGGGTATGTATTCATAAAGGCATCTCTGATCTCCTCTGCTGTCTTCACTGTGCCCTTCCCTTCTGATCCTCTCAACATTGTGTCCGCAGTCTTCTTCCACTGAGCTGAAACAACACGCCACCTTTCTACATAAACTTCCAAGCCACGTTCATTTCTTACTCATATTGAAAATCTACATTCTTTTAAAATTATTTTCGGCATCTTAATGAATCAGCTTGTTTATATTTTTATTCTTTTAATTATTTCTCTCAATTAATTAGTCTGTTTGTTTATTGTTCCGACTTTAAAGTAACGGAATATTTGTGCTCGGGGTGGGTTTTTTTTCTTCAGACAAATTTCGACTTTTTATTTAGACATTTTTGACGGAATTTTTTATTTCATTCAAAATGTATTGTTGTCTTGAGCTTAAATTTGAAAAGATATTTCACCTGTGATCAATTTTCCTAAAGTTTAAAGATTGCCATTTTGGCCATTTAGGGACAATTAACGGCCGATATATTTCGCGCTAGTAACGCGTAAGCGGAGATTTATCCCGCCTTAGAAATCGCTCCAAATTGGTTGAAAGAAGCTTATTTGCCACAATTGATTTGTTACATTGAACGAAATCAATTCTCTTAAGCTTTAGATGGCGTGTGGGGTGATAATTTCATTTAAAAAAATCAAATTTCAGAAAATTGTTTCTTCTTTTTTTTAAATTATATATATTTTTTTTTAATGTTACTACTGCTCGATAAACTTGAAAAAGGCAGTCGGATTATTCAGGGCTTTGCCCTGATACGAGCAGTCTTGTCCCTAATTTAAAAATTGTTCTTTTCAAAGCTGTTCTTTTTTTGTTTAAGCAATGTTTTATCCTATAACTTCATTCTCATGACAATAGTTAAAATAAATTGAAAACTGCAGCTGATAAATGAAGAGCGTATGATTCACATATAATATTATCAGAATGGATCTGTGTCGATGCCAGACATGACTTGATGACTTCCATGCCACATTTAGATGAGCTCAAGTTGTCTGTAATCTAATTGAAAAGGCGAACAGAACAGCATGACGAATGAATTAAACTTAATGACACATCTGTTTACCTTGGTTGGCCATTTCCTCTCTCTGTCTCTGCTCTGCCAGTGCTTTGGCAGCTGCCACACTCTGCTGCTGTCTCAACTTCTCCTCTGCCTCGGCCACTCTCGCCTCCAACTTCTCTCTCTCATCCGCCTTCTGTCTGTCAAACCTCTCCTCCACTTCTCGCTCCTGCTTCTTAATCTGCTCCTGCTTTGCATTCAGCTTCGCCTCTTGCTCCGCCCTCTCTCGTCTGAACTGATCTTCCATCTTTTGCTGCTGCAACTTCAGCTGCTCAATTTGATCCGCCAACTTGGAATTGTTTTGTTCAGTTACCAACTTCGCCTCCAGCCCCTCTTACTGTTTCTGAATTCTCTCCAGTTTGTCTTCAAGTGCCTGTTTGTCCTTCTTGCTTTGGTCGTCGAACTGTTCTTGCAACTTGTCATCTTCTGCCTGTTTCTTCAGCAGTTGATTGAACATGTCTTGTTTCAGCTTTGCAACTTTCGCCTCTAACATTTCCCGAACCTTCTCTCTTTCCTCGGCCAGTTTCGCCAACTCCGCCACGTGTTTCATCTCCATTCTATCACGATCTTCTTCAGTTTTTCGCTTCAAAGTTTCCTTTCTGCTGCGAGAATTGTCATTCCATCTCACTCAACTCCTGTTGTCTGAAACAGTTTCCCTCGTGGAAATGACAGTGCAAAAAGAGGCAGAGAATCTTATTTGTATCCTGCAAAATCAAAGGCAGAAAATCGCGACTACTTGTTTAAATTTCAGTCAAAGCTCATTAAAACACAATCCTTGTGCTCGGGTCATTTTTTATACAGAAAAAATTTGTCCTTTATGAAGCTTTTGACCAAGTGTTCTTACACATTTTGGCAGAAGTTGATTTCCAGGGCATCACATTTCATCAATTTTTGCTAAGTTATGAGGAACTGATTTTCAAAAAATGCTGTTTTGATCAAATTAATAGTAAGATCCATAGTTTCAAGCTTGCCAACAGAGGGCAACTATATACAAAAGTTTGAGCTGGTTATTGCCTCCAAATTGGGAGACGTCAAGTTACTATGTTATAAGTTAGTAAGTGTGAGTAGTGTAACAATTAATCAGGAGAGCCGTAAATAACCGGTACATTTAAGATTGTGCCAATTCGCGCGCGGAAAAAAACTTGTTCAGACATGATCAAATACGTTTACGCGAGAGTTAAAAATTTGTAATCATGCCGCCAAACGACGGTTTTTAATAGGACAGATTTCGATGCAACTATTAATTTCATAATCATGCCGCAAAACGATAGTTTTTTATTGGTTGAAATTCAATGCAGATAGATACGTCATAACGCGTCATTGTGTGATTTAATTTGAAAACTAATCTGATTGGAAAAGACTCTGATTTTCTATTTTTTCATTTTCATACAGTAGTGTAATCTGATCAGTTGGTAAAATTTAAACTAAGTTTTTGCAAAGGCTATAAAACTTGATAACATAATTAAAACTACTTCGATATACCACGGATTTATATTTCTCTTCCTGTCAAAAAAAACAAAGCGCCTCAGAGAACGGTATCAGTTATAAACAAGGAAATACCTATAAATTTACCAGTGCAAATAATTTCTGTTTCCAAATCAAAGAAAGCCGCTACTAAAGCCAAAGTAAGCTACTGAATCCATTCCAAGTTCGTTTATACCCCCAAAATGCAAGAGACCAAAACAACAAGCAGATTTCCTCAGACTGCAGAAGGGCAAAACCGAAACAAACTTAGTCTCAAACAAATCATTGCAAGTGTCGGTCAAGAAACAAGGAAAGAAAGGGTGATTTTAAGTGCTGAAACATCTGGGCTGCAAAACTTGACAAATTTTTGTTTATTTTCTATGCTCATGTTAGTCTGGGTAAATTTTAAACGCCATTTAAGCCAAATGATTGGTAATCTTAAAATTTAACAAGAAGTTATCCGTTGAACCTTTACTCTCATCGAATGAATTTTTAAGTTATCGGATACAAGTTTGTAATTTCCACAGAGCTAGTAGAAAACGATAATTTTATCAAGGAGAGCTTTCCGGGGAAAGCTCTCAATTTTTGGATCCCTGCTGCTGAGCAGTTTCTAGACTTCAGAATTTGAAACTCTTAGTTCATAAAAAAATACTTCGATGATTTTTGTTCCATTTTTGGAAGCAATTGCTGAAGAGTGAGGCATTGTTTCGTTTTCTGAGTTTTTGATATATTCAAAATTGAAATGAAGATTCATTTTTTGTTTGTTTCAATCAAGAACTGTTAAAGTTGAAAGCAAATTTCAGAAATGAATCCTAATTTAGGGTTGGAATCTTATTTATTATTTAACCGCAATCATGGGTTGAAAGCGGTAAATAGCGGTTTATTCACAATCTTGTTTACCTTTTTGGTTATAGTAGTCAGTCCTGTTGAGGAAACCATTACCAATAATTGGTGGTTTGACCAATTCACTTCAAGTAGATACATTTAACTTCAATTCTTTCTAAAACACCTATGTCATCATCCACTTGGATTAAAGTGACTAAGTTGAACGTTATATTTCGCAAAAAAAATGGTAATGGTAAGCAACGAAGAGCAAGCAAAGTCATACTGCAACAGGTTCAATTTTAATATATTTAAAATTTTTAAAGATGACATGGTGGCAGTTACATTGCTCAAAAAGACTATTTGTTGGAACAAGCCTACGTATCTGGGTGCAGCTGTCTTGGATGTTTCAAAACTACAGTTGTACAAGTTTCATTTCGAGCAGATTGCTCCAAGACATGGAAAAAACGCAAGAGTTTTATACAAGGACACGGATTCGCTTTTTTATGAAATTCAAACTTTTAATCTTAAAATTTCACAAGAAGTTATCCGTTGAACCTTTACTCTCATCGAATGAATTTTTAAGTTATCGGATACAAGTTTGTAATTTCCACAGAGCTAGTAGAAAAAGATAATTTTATCAGGGAGAGCTTTCCGGGGAAAGCTCTCAATTTTTGGATCCCTGCTGCTGAGCACTTTCTAGACTTCAGAATTTGAAAATCTTAGTTCATAAAAAAATACTTCGATGATTTTTGTTCCATTTTTGGAAGCAATTGCTGAAGAGTGAGGCATTGTTTCGTTTTCTGAGTTTTTGATATTCAAAATTGAAATAAAGATTCATTTTTTGTTTGTTTCAATCAAGAACTGTTCAAGTTGAAAGCAAAATTCAGAAATGAATCTTAATTTAGGGTTGGGCTCTTATTTATTATTTAACCGCAATCATGGGTTGAAAGCGGTAAATAGCGGTTTATTCACAATCTTGTTTACCTTTTTGGTTATAGTAGTCAGTCCTGTTGAGGAAACCATTACCAATAATTGGTGGTTTGACCAATTCACTTCAAGTAGATACATTTAACTTCAATTCTTTCTTAAACACCTATGTCATCATCCACTTGGATTAAAGTGACTAAGTTGAACGTTATATTTCGCAAAAAAAAATGGTAATGGTAAGCAACGAAGAGCAAGCAAAGTCATACTGCAACAGGTTCAATTTTAATATATTTAAAATTTTTAAAGATGACATGGTGGCAGTTACATTGCTCAAAAAGACTATTTGTTGGAACAAGCCTATGTATCTGGGTGCAGCTGTCTTGGATGTTTCAAAACTACAGTTGTACATGTTTCATTTCGAGCAGATTGTTCCAAGACATGGAAAAAACGCAAGAGTTTTATACAAGGACACGGATTCGCTTTTTTATGAAATTCAAACTGAAGATGTTTATGAAGACCTAGAACAAATGAAGAACTTAATGGATTTTAGTTCTTATCCAGAAAATCATTTCCTATACAGCAAAAATAACAAAAAAGTTCCTCTAAAATTGACAAATGAGCTGAAAAAAAAATGTTGTTTCAGAAGCAGTTTTTTTGAAATCTAAGGCTTATTCCATTGCATTTATAGAAGGAGACTCATTCAATACAAAACAAAGTGCGAAAGGTGTAAATGAAAGCGTTAAAAGTACTCTTCATCATGAAAAATATAAATCAGTGCTGTTAGAGGGTACATCAATAAAAGAATCTATGAAAATATTCGTAAGCAGGAATCATTTTTTATCCATCGATGATGTCAACAAGATAGCATTATTAGCTTTCGATAACAAACGATTCTATGATAATGACGAAATTAAATCTTTGGCTTTCAGTCATTTCAGAACCGGACCAAAATCAAACTATACAAAAAGTGCCAAGAAGATTCTTGTAACCAAACAGATTTTAAAACTGAACGTGAAAATTCCTGCCCAACCGACACAGACCACGATTTGTTTCGTTTAAAAGAAAGCGAAGTTTTCGAATTATTAGACACAAACAGCAATGAGGATTGTAGTGATTCAGCTTAGTATTACACCTCTGATGATGAGGCTGATTTTTTTAAACCCCCCTGATCCCGGATTAAATCGTACTGCTGAGGAAAGCAGTGATGAAGATAATGTAATAGATTTGAATGCGCCTGTATTTGAAATGTTCATATATAGAAGATGAAGCCGCTGAAGCTGATTTAATGCCAAGAAAACAATCGAAATATTCGTGATTTAATACACACGCAGCTTAAAGAGCTCAGCCGAGCTTTTTAGAGACGTAGAAGAGTTGAGACAACAAAACAGAAGGATGAAAATTTTTTTTTTGTATATTCGCTTGATCTTGTTATAAAACAGTTTGATTTAATTTTATAAATTTAATGGGTTTGGTGTGATGTGTTTTAAGAATTGTAGCGTTCTAAATCTTATTTTAAAATTTAATGCTTGTAATTTATACAGAATACAATTGTTTTTTCTAGTTCTGTCTTTGTCATTAGCAGATTAGATTAGCAGATTAGTGAGATATTAGTACAGTGTAAGACAACAATAAAAATTATAATACTTTTTGATAATATCAAGATAGATCGTGAGCTTTTTTTAACTTTTTCTAAACAACCTTAAATGTATCGGTTATGTACGGCTCTCCTGATTAATTATTACACTAATTGTGTGGCATGGCGGATGTTTGCCCTAGAGTCTTTAAAGCGTAAGCGGCAAACTAAATCAATCCGAACTGAATTGAGGGAAATAAGTTGAATAGCACATGGAAAAAGTGATTACTAAACAATCTTTATTATGAAACTACCAAAGGACTGACCCCAAACTCAGGTATTTGATCCTCGGTCCTTTTGTTAGTTTTCAGAAGTATTCAAAATCAAACTTTTCAACGAAGAAACATGCGCTTCACCTGCGTTCTTCCTCCTCTCTTCTCTGCTGCTCCATTTCTGCCAGCTGCTTTTCCTTCTCTTCTATTTCCCGTTTCAGTTTCCTCGACTCTGTCTCCACCTTCTTCACATCTTCTGTGTTCAAGGGTGGCGCCTCTTCCACCATCTTCCACAGCTCCTGCATTCCCTTCTGGAAGGCCTCCTCCTCCTCCCGATTACTAGTGTCTCTGCACGAGTCTACTATGTGGTATTTGAGTCCCTTCCCTCTGGGAAACTTATCCAGCACGGACCTTATGTATTTGGCCGCCAATTGAGCGTCGGTTTGTTTGGTGATTCGTTTTCGTGATTCGATACTTCGTGAATCCATTGGTAGCCGAGTAAAAACTATCACAGCTTGCGACCAAAACTTCGCACCAAACATGCCTTCAAAAACCCGAATCATTCCGACGAGGCTTCCATCTAGCCGAGGCTCTTGCCCATTAACAGCTATTACAAATAGGTTCACAAAATCGCATTTGGTTCTTAGTTTGATCACGAGGTCCGAGATGATGGTGGCGTCCGCATCCCTTTCGGGGTCGTCGAAGCCCACTGTATCAATTAGGGATACAGGCGTCTCCTTGTTTCCATTAAAAAAGACGTTGCCAAAGGTGGTTGTGCCGGTACACCCTTGTGCCTCTGCGGAAACTGGGAACAGGTCTGCGTCGTGGGCTTTGCCTGCCACCACATTACACAGGCTACTTTTGCCTGTCCCTGTCTTGCCCACAATCAGCACTTTCTTGAACGTGTTCCCGTTGATGTCTTCGACAAGACTACTACTCTGAGGTCCTCTTAACACTTCGCTGCTCCTCGCCGCCACTTCTAACAAAATAGCAAAATTAGCACAACCCTTTTTGTTTGAAGTTGTCTTGACCCATAAAAGATCTCAATTCAATGAAGCGCTTTAGAAAGTTGGGTTTTCACTTAGAGTGGTCACTCATAAAACAATTTCAGATAAGGTACACTGTCTGCTCGTTACACTATCTTATTTTCGGCCGGATAGATTCGTGCAACTTCTTAGTCTAATACCAATCTTAATCTTACTCTCCTAGTCTCAATAGATCTAGTGTATAAAGGTCTTTGCGGGTTAGATATATTGAACTTGTTCCAAAGGAGACCAACTGTCTTCAGATTTTCATTTTTTTTAAATTTTTTTTATTGCTGAAACTACAAGTAGTTTCAGCACTACAAATAATTGTCAGTGTTAGTTATGGACTATGATTGGTTATTTAATAGTAATTTAAAGAGATGATTATATAATGTTTTTGTATAACTTTATAAAACGTGTTTGTGTGGGTTAGTTTTGTCTTTGGCATGATTTTGTGTGAGCAGTGAATGTCTTCTGCCTTTGGTTTAAGGAATCGAAATGATAGTGCAAAAAGGTTAAATTTATTGAAAAACGGCTCGTACGCTTTAGTGTTTATTAGTGCGCGAGCGATTATGTTATCAATTTTCTTATTAGTGGTTTTTTTATACCTCTTTATATTTTATAGAGATAGTTTTGTCAATAAAAAAGTTGGTTATAAACACTAGTTTCAAACTGGTTCCAACCATCCTGGTTTTAGAGAGTTTTTAGTTTTCAAAATGTTTTTTATAGTGAGGCATGGAGAGTTTTCTTGGTTTTTGGAATAGTTTTCTTCTGAAGCAGTGACTGCGTGAAGAAAGGAGAGATGTAGTTGTCTTCGTAGAGAGAACAAGAACAGTTGTTCCAAAAGTGTGTCTCGTTTATCCTAGATCGCCTTGAGTGATTGTGTCAAGATTTCAGATTGATGCAACGATGTGTTGATTTCGTTAAGCAAGAGCGAGACTACATGCAAGATGACATTTGGCCTTTCTATGTGAAGTGCCAAGTGACTAGGATCTGTATATGAGATCAACATCGAGTTGGCCATTGGTCTGTTTCAATGGTTTTCCTTTGCTGCGATGTTGGGTCCATACTGTAAATCCTTTGAGGGCAGTGACTACGGCAACAAACCTAATAGATTTGCCATTTTATAGTTGTAGTGTAATCGAGTTTACATCTTCCTTTGCTGCTCGTTCCGTTTGCTCTTAGAAATATTTTTACTTGCATAAAAAATCTATATTTTGTAGGTGAATTAAGTTTTAGTTATGATTTTCGTTAGTTGTTTTCGCAAAAGCGTTTTTTATAGTTTTGGTTACTTTAAAAAGTCGATCACTCTAGAGCAACTCTCGTCAAAAATTCAAAAGTTCAGTGCGTGTCAGCGTCGTTGTAGCGCGGTGAGTTAAGCCAGCTATAGAGCATGTTCAAGACATTGGGTGGCGAAGCCAGGTGATGGAGCATGATATTACCGTCTCTTTGAGCAGAATCTCTTTTTGTGTTCAACTTTTTGTTCTCTTTTATCAGGTGTTTTTTTTGTTTTGATTTTATCCTTGCATCAAAAACAGATTGTTATGTTTTGGGTTTTTTTTAAGTTTTTGGTGTTTTAAGTGATTTCAATAAACATGATAGTGGGTTTCAATGGAATAATTTGTCCAGTTTTAATCTGGGTTTCATCTGGTCTGAGTACCGTAAGACTTTTTATTGCATGTGTTGTTTTTGTTGTGTTAGTAGGCTGCGTTGTTCAGTTTAAGCTTGCTCATAATTCCGTCCAACCTGGTAAAGGAAAATTTGAAACGCGTGAAAACAAATTGTATTTGCTATCAGTTATTGCTGAAGCTTGAAATTCAAACATTAAACAAAGCTAAGTTGGGGGATTTATGCGAGTTTGGTGGATAGTGTGTAAAAACTGTGGTCGAGTAAAGGACAAATATTTAGTTATAAAAGAAGCAAAATAAAAAAAATTAGTTTCTAATAAATAATTTACATCTTATTAATTTACTACATCATCTTTTTATTATTTTACCACAGAATCATCAATTTCTTGCAATTGTTATGAAGTTTACTGCACTTGAATAATCCATTTTTATTGCTAGATTAAAATTGAAACTTTGTAAAAAATGGTTTGGGATTTTTTTACTTGGGTTTTAATCTTTTAGATGAGTGACTGGTGAAATCTAAAAAAGAGTTGTGAAAAACAAATGTAATAATGGTGAGTATCATGTTTTATATGTTAGTGTTAGTAATAAAATTCATATTTACGAGGGTTCAGTATCGCGGAAAAATCCATAGGGGAAGTTAATCTTGATTGTGTCCGATGTTACTGGAAGCTTTGCAAGCATGCGAATTACGTTTTTAGTGCGAAGCAGAGGCCAAAAAAATTCAAGTGCTCTGAGGGTGTTTAGTTTTCGGCAAGCGTTTAAAACTCATGATTTATGTTCTGAATCAGTTATTTAGCTTATGATAAGTTTAGTATTGTAAATGTGTTCGATTAGTGTGGTTTCATTGGGCTGTATATGTTCGTGGGCAATTATTATGGGACGGGCGTCGTCGACTGGTAAAGTGTTAGTCAGTGGGCAGAAATAAGTACTTTGTCTGATGGGAACATAATTACGGAGGATGCATGTAATTAAATAGATTTAATGCAATATGTGAAATTTATGAAAAATGGTGATGTGTACTTTGAGATAATAAACAAAAAACGATGCTGTGGGTTATGGGCTGGTGAGTTGGTGATATTAAGTTTTTGTCTGAATTTATAAAAAGTGTTTGTGTTGGTTGTGAATGTCTCTTTCCTTTGGTGTAAGGAAGTGAAATGTTAGTGCAAAGAGGTTAAATTGAATGCAAAAGGGCTCGTAAGCTCTGGTGTTTGTTAATGCGCGAGCGATTAGGTTCATAAATTTTTTATTAGTGGTTTTATTATATCTGTATATATTTTATAGAGATAGTTTTACTAAGAACATAATTGGTTATAAATACTAGTTTTAAACTGGTTACAAAATCATTCATAACTTCAACTATGGTCATTTATTGTCTAAGTTCATAGTTTGGTCTAAAACTTGTCGTTTTTAAATTATTTTGCTTTTAATTCAACATTCCTGATCATAGATTAGTTTCAATTCATTCAGACTGTTCGCAATATAAACCTTCAATTTCAACGCGCCTATTTCGGATTTTTCAATCATTTGTAATTGCTTTTTTCTAATTTAATTTCAACAGCTTTGTTTGAATTTCAACGAGCCTGCTCGATGAAAGCATCTGTGCCATTCTGCCGGATGACACAGCACAACCTTCCCGCGACAGAAAAAAGAGTGACTAAAGGCCTTATGAACAGAAAAGTGTTGCGACGGAGGGTCAGAATGTTCTAGAATTTTTATTTTTAAAATTTCGATCGGAAGAAGAACATTTCTGAGAAATAGAAAAAAGACGGCCATTTTGAATAAAAAAGACGAAAATCAGAACCACGATATAGATTGTGAAGAACAGTTGTATCAGAGACAGAAAAACACGGAGCCTCTTATCGTGGCAAGAACACACGATAAGGACCTTAGCGACAGATATTTGTGGAGACGGAGGCTTCAGTGGGGGGAAGAGAAATACCACGGAACCCTCCCGGGACACGAAATATAGGAGATAAGAGTGTTATCTCAAGAAAATCACGGGAGCGGAGGCTTGGTCCCCCAGAGACTGTTATATGTGAAGGGACTGTGAAAACTGACTATAACAGCTGCTGTAATGTCCTAGATCTTAATTAACACCGTTATTATTTAATATTTCAGAGCATGAGTAGATAGAAAAAGGAAAGGGTCAATCCATCTCCAATGGATTTAATATAAAACTGTCACACAAAAACATAATAAAATAGGTTGTTCGAGCCGTGTTTTTAATGACAATCACGTAGTCTGAGGATCCGAGACTCAGCTATGTGGTTGTGTTCGCATGCAAACGAAAGCTGATCAAAAGTCGTTTGACTGATGGCCTAAAAATGGTAACTTTTTACTTTGCCCTAAACAGACCAGAAAATCAACTGGCAAGGTCGAGACGGTAAAAAACGAGTAGAATTAAGGTAACTGACGCCTGCCAGTCGTTGATAGGTACTTTTTCTACGCTCCGTCGCTGTGTGATATTTGGGCGAATGTTACATAGGCGTTTTTATGGCGCTCCTGGGTGGGCCTGTTAAAGGCATGAAACCATCATGATCAGCAAGCGTTTCAGCGACGAACCCTCCGCTCCGGGCGTATGCCCGAGTTAGAGGCCTTAATGACCGTTATTGTACTAGGGGGAAGGTGCGTACCCTCCGTCTAGTGCAATTTAGCTTTTTAACTTAGTTAACACCGAAAATTCCGGGGGCCGGAGGGTTAGGAGGGAAATCTAGAGCCCGCTTGTCCTGAGGTCCCAGGACCAAAAACAATTAAAGAGAAAGCGTAAAACCAAACAAAAATAGTGTATAACCAAGAAAAAGCCAAAAAATAAAATTATTTAAAAACAAAAAGTACAAAAAACAGTAAAAAATCCAAAAAAGACCAAAAACAGTAAAAAACATAAAGTGACAATTTATATGTTATTTCCGGACGAGATGTGATCTGACCTTCCTATATGTTGTTGTTTCAGATTGATTTATATCGTTTCTGATAGAAAGATTGTGTGTTTTGGTGAAGGGTTGGATACCCTCCCTCGAGTGTAATTTGAGTGTTTAAGCACGTTATTGGTAATTTTGCCGGTGGCCGGAGGGTAGAGTGGCAAGCTGATCAACGTGTTCCACACTCAACAGGGACATCAAGGACAACATCCGCAACGACTGTTGGGTATCGTTGAAGCAATTTCAGTATCGTTCGGGTACTAATTCTTTAAAACTTAAGTGGTGGGGGGCACGATTGGCGCGGTCCGATTGTACCCTCCATCGATTACAAATTTCCGAGTTAAGGGTCTTAATTCGGATATTTTGGTGCAAAGGAGGGTATAGTACTATTCATTAACGACTAGATTATTAATAGATTATTATCCTTATTATATGTTACTTATCTCCTATTTAGACCCAAGAAATACCCATTTTTTGTCGAAAATTACCAATTTTCGACCAAATTGTAGACCCCAAATTTTCGGATATCCGAGCTTTTCCGATAGACAAAAAGCTTTTATATAGAGAGTAGCTACGTAGTTCGATCCCCTTTATTAAAGAAACCGCGTGAGCAAAGACTCAGTAGAAGTTAGAAAAACGAAAATTTTTCGATCAAAATTTTGATAATTTTCTGTATTTTGTCAATCTGTTTTGGGGATCGAGTTTTTGAGTTTTTAGAGTTAGAGCAATAAAATTTTTTGCGTTAGGAGCGTGCTAGCATAACGTGCTAGGTTACTAGAGAAATTTTTGGGTAACCCTCCGAGTAGCTCCGTGGATAGAGCTAACGACTTAAGGTTTGGAAAAGGAAGGAATCGGAGGGTCCAAATTTGATAGTTTTTGGCCAAATTTTCGTTTCTAAACCAATTTTGGTCCGGTTTTTTGCATTATTCCAGTGCCGTACAGGGCTGCTACGCTCATTTCAAGTATTTTTAGGCACTTTCGACCGGAATTGCGGAAAAAGTCTTTCAGAACCTATATAGGTGGTGAAAAAAGGCCATTTTGACGAACGCGTTTTTGGCGATTTCTCAAAGACTAGCTATCCGATCGGGATACTTTTGGTACCATAAGTCGACGTTTTTGACCACTTCTCCGAATCTCAACCGTTTTTGGGTTGATTATTTCGGAAAAGAAAATTTTTTTTAGAATTTGTTGGTTCGGAGGGTCCAAGTAACGGGCAACCCTCCGAGCGGCAGAAAATTTTATCAAAACATCTTTTTATTCAACTGGGAAGGTTGACCGTGTCAGCCAACCTAGTTTTAAGTCAGGTAGACCGCTTTCAGAGGCTTTACTGCGGTGATTTAACCCTTTTTCTTGATTTTGGGGGAACCCTCCGAAGTGACCCTCCGGAGTCAGCTAAACCCTTTAACAACCCTCCTTAGTGGAAAATTTCCACGAGATCACCCTAAGAAGTTGAAACAGCTCCCCCTAGAACCCTTAGTTTATTTTGACGCTTTTTGAAGCTAGTAGGAGAACCTTCCAAGTGAGATCGGAAAATTTGGAAAATTTTGGAGGTACCCTCCGAAGTGACCCTCCGG